GGGGTATTTAACATGGTTTGTTTTTTGAGTGTGGTTTAAAATCAGCCCATCATTGTGGGAAGGAATAAATTATATGCGTGTCAGTATCTGTGCGAGCGTGAGATATTTCTAATGTAATACAGGGAGAGCTGCTGGGCCATATGAAGCGACCTGTAATCTTCACTGAAATTTCCAAGTCGAAGATGATTGAAAAGGTCTGTAAGACACTCTCAACCTGCGTACCGTACTGTAACAGAGCCCTAAAACGAACAGCGAAGCCCGAAGGACGGTAAACTAGTGGCCTTCTTGTGTTCGCAAATGTTCCACTCATCGCATTTTAGCGAGTTTTACCCGTCAGCTTCTCAATTTAAGTAATGTAGGAGAGATCGCACCGTATATTGGTACAAGACAAAACCGTGCTGGTGTTTTCGTCAGGCGGCTGTCTTACTTTACGTGAAAGCTGAAATTATGTCTGTTTTACGAGAAACGATATCTCCACCCACCCCCTAGCCCCTATTTGATCCCTTTTCCTCGGATCTTTAGAAAATTGGGAGACACTCCGGGGGCCTATTGTTACAAACAGTCAAAAATGCAGCCTCACCTGAGAACGAGGCCAGTGCGTCAGCTGGGTGTCTCGTGACTTCTACTTGGTCAGTTGAACAACCCAGCAAACCGCACCATGGCATCTTACGTCACATCGTCAGTATGGTCAGCTAGCCTCACTTTGTTGTTTTTGTGCATTTATGTCGGTGCCGACACTCCAGCTAATTGTACCTACGAAGAGATAAGCGGATCATGGCTTTTTTCGATCGGAGAGGGAGGCCATGACAACACCATCGACTGCTCCTCGTTCAAACCTGTCTCTGAGCTTCAAGTGACTTTGTTGTTTCCTGATGTCGCAGTCGATTCGGAAGGAAATGTCGGCTTTTGGACACTGATCTACAATCAAGGCTTTGAAGTGAAAATAAACGGAGTGGTATATTTCGCATTTTCAGCTTACGAGAAGAGTGGAGAAAAAGTGATCAGTCTGTGTGACAAAACCCTAAACGGTTGGAGTCATCCCGCGAAGGGTTATCATGCCGAAAATTGGGCTTGTTACAGCGGTAAGATAAATATGCATCGGATTTTTTTGAGGCAATTATGATTGTTATTAAATGGAATACGAATATGGATCCCATGCCTTTGATTTGATTAGGGACTATAAAATTTCAATAGCATCGAAAATGAATTAAGATCTACTCGAAAACGAAAGGGAGGACTCGAATTCGGGCGACCCTAAAAGCCGGCAGAATGGACAGCTGGAATGCCGGAATGATGGAATATAACCCCAAATCCTAAAACCCGAAACGGATGTCAGGACATATTGCACGAAGTGTGACAGACATTCCAGCACTTGGCTCATTCATCCCCAAGACAATAATGCACATGACTAAAACTAAGTGCAGATTTTTTTTTTCCTTTACTGAGTGTTATGAATAATTCTGAACATTATACATGAAAGGTAGCTGTGTTGTAAACCTGTTTGGTTGGTTGGTTGACAGTGCAAAATGTGTCAATCAATTCAGAGCTTCAACATCTTCACCCTCCCCCCTCCCGGTAACCTCCTGGTCATTTGAACTTTGGAAGATTGGTTAGTTCAAATTCTGCCCCCCCCTTCCTCCAGGAACAATGTATTCAAATGCAACACTCAAGAACAATTTTAAAACTCTAAATTCTAAACCATTTGCTCATGAGGGCAGACTTTTAACCTTTAAAACTCTACCATATTTAAAATTGTATAAGTTGTAATTCTCCACTCTAACCAGGCAAGGTTCAAATCCTCACTGTTGGGGCATGAATGAAATTATGTAGGGAAAATTTATGTACTGATTGCTCCTTGGAATCAAAGAGGAGGTTCAAGACAAGGGTTGCATTTCCCACAGTTGGGATTTTCTTGATTTACTGCAAAGGGGTTGTTAGGTGCAACTCATAACAGACTCATAGAGTATGGTAAAAAATAGTATCTTTATTGCACGATTTTCTCAGGGCAGTGAGGGTCAGATGATGAATGTTATTGTTATTTTTAATTTCCATCATAGGTAAAAAAGTTTTACGGAAGGTTCCACCTAAACTGCAAGACTTGAGACCACTTTTAAGGGACAATAGGAAGTTTGTTCCCAATCAGGAATTTGTTGACCAAATAAACAATGCTCAGAGCTCTTGGAAAGCTGTGGTATATGAGCATTATAGTGGGATGACTGTGGCACAGTTGATTGCTCATGCAGGTGGACCAAATAGACTCAATTTTCCTAAACCAAGGTATGAAAGTTCTTTTAATTTTGTTTTTGTTCATTATTTTCTGTGAATCTGGCCTCTTCAAATTAGCCTTTTTTACTGTGCTTGCTCTGTTATTTAGACATTACCTGTAATCCTCTTTCCTGAAATGTATTTCGGTTAAAAGTCATTGAAGAATGCAGGCTATGGTTCATTGTACCAGGATCTTGGTTAACTTTTCAAACCTGAAAATCTCACAAACTGTCTTTTCCCATTAATGAACACCTCATCACAGGAGGGTTAAAAGATTGTGTCTTTTTTATCGTGGATTAGTCAAATTGAAATTTCTATGTTGAACCAAAGAAAGAATACATGTAGCTTAGCATTTTTAAAACAGACATGTACCATTGTTAAATACAGAATTTATTTGACGGGTATGCAGACTTGGATTTACTTTGAAATGGCTATGAACTGAGGCCTCCAGCTCTCTTCAATATGATCTTGACAGCATATTTCAGTGTCTAAAAAATTGTTGATTAATTAAAATTTGACACAGAATGCTTGCCAAATAAAATTATTACAAGGAACTTCTTTTATAATTATAAGGAATTGGACATGAATGTCCTCAGTCTTTTTAAGGACATTAAGGTCACAGTGCATGATGGGATTGTTAGGTTTAGCACTGTCAAATACACAACTACTCCCCCTTATTGTAATCGGTTTTGTTTGTTTGTTTGGTTTTTTTTTAATGAATTGAATGGATACACTGTACATGGTATACTGTGTCTTTCAGCCAACCAACAGAAGCAGATCTTTTAAAAGCTAAGGTGCTCCCAGATGAGTTTGATTGGAGAGATGTTGATGGGAAAAACTATGTTAGTCCAATCAGAAATCAAGGTGCTTGTGGCAGCTGCTATGCTTTTGCAACCGCGGCTATGTTTGAGGCTCGGGTTCGAGTCATGTCAAATGCAACTAAAACACCAGTGTTCTCACCTCAAGACATTGTAAGCTGTTCTGAATATGCACAAGGTTGTGAAGGAGGTATGTTAACAATACTTTGCGCAGTTTATAAGTGATGAGTATTGGAGAGCAGCAATGTACAGAAGAAAATGTGTGAAGAATTTAAAAAGAGGGGCTTGGATTGCAGATTGGAATGAGCTGAAGAATACCTAATAAATGATATAAAGAGTGTGGGTTGGAATAGGGTTGATGGGGAAATTATGCTCGAGAAACCACATAATCTTTATCGTTAATGTTGTGTTAAATTTGTAGTAAAAATTGTAAAAAAAAATTGTAAAAATTGTAGTAAATTTACCATGAATACTTACTTAAGTTTGAGAGGTACACAACCTTTGAAAATTTGCCCAGACATTTTACTTGGAATGCCCCCTGTTGGTAGCCTGTTGTCGCGCTCTGGCGATGTTGCTGCCTTGGTGTTAGTTGACATGGAGGAAACTGACCATTTCTTTCTAGGTTTCCCTTATCTTATTAGCAAATATGCTCAAGACTTTGGATTGGTGGATGAAGAATGCTTCCCATACGAAGGCAAGGACTCGCCTTGTAATGAGAAGAAGTGCTCAAGGCAGTTTGGGACTGGTTACCACTATATTGGTGGGTTCTATGGAGCATGTAATGAAGAGCTAATGAGGATTGAATTGGTGAAGAATGGTCCCATAAGTGTTGCCTTTGAGGTCTATAGTGACTTTTTTAATTATAAAGGTGGAATATAACATCATACAGGTGAGATTTTATGACAACTTTGTCACTTTTAAACCATTACTTGTTTACTTATCATTAGCCATATGTTCCATTTGGGTTTCTAGTTGAACTAATCTCATTAAAGATGAATACAATTTGGTTTGGTTTTGATTGCTACAGTTAGCTGCAAGAGTGTCCCAGGTCACTACCCTTAAATTCTGAAGTCTGATTCTTTGTGATTTTCCATACTTGGCCATATATTTCCCTGTTGATAAGTAAGATAACCTAATTTCAACTATTCCCTAAGGTAAGTTATGTTGGTTTGTTGTTTTAATATCATACAGGTCTGACAGACAAATTTAATCCCTTTGAGATAACTAATCATGCTGTATTGGCTGTGGGATATGGAGCTGACAAAAAGACTGGTGAGAAGTTCTGGATCGTGAAAAACAGCTGGGGAAAGGACTGGGGCGAGAGTGGCTACTTTCGTATCCGACGAGGAACCGACGAATGTTCGATTGAAAGCATCGCTGTCGCGGCTCAGCCGATAATGGAATGAGGCTCACTTATTTCAATTGTCAAAGTTTTATATAATCCGTTGTAATATTGTTAACCATGTAGTAAATTAAAAGCCAAATTTTTCTTAACGTCAAAGATTTTCCAAACAAATCCAGGTAGGATCTGCTAATTCTCAAAAGGGCAGTAATGTTTTAGAAATTATTTAAATAGAAATTCCGGTTCACGTAATTAATTCTGATTAAGTCAGAATACATTTTTAATCCTAACATACGACTCACCTCAGTGAGTGTTTCTGTTTTAACCTATTGACGTACAGTGCGCCCGTAAGCGCCTATGTGGACCCACACCCTTTCTACGCCTTGTGACGTCAACGCTTTTAACCCTGGAGCACGACTTTGAGCACGTACTTGAACAGGTTGAAAATATCTTACAAACGATACCAGAATGAGCGCAATTGAGTGAAGGAGATTGGAGAAATAGCCAAAAAACCATGTTACTTTGACCTGAAAATCTGCACGAAAATCTTGTTCTACGTTTTTGAGCATGTGTTTGAAAATAATGAGTAGTTTCCTAAAAAGTCTCTACACCAAAATGAAGCCCACTAAACTTCCAGCAAGTGAGGAGAAACTTCAGGCAAGGAAAGGGGAAAAAAAGGGCAGGAGAAAGAGAGAAAAGTAGAAGTCGTAAGTGGGGCAAATTTTCCTTTCTGCGCCTGCCCGAGATTTTCATGCCGCCATTTTGCATTTGGATCGAAAGGCCGTCGAGTGTACAAGCTGTCAATGGGTTTGTGGCAAGTTTGAACTTTTAAAATCACAACAGTGACCCGAAATCTTCTCGACTAGCTTCAAAACACAGTTTTTCACAAAAGCTGCTGCTATTAATGGGTTCATGCGCAATGTACGGTAGCATTTTGTATCTAACAGGGGGTGCTGACGGGGGTGAGGTATTGGTACGATTTAGTATGATTATAACTTAACTTAAAAAAAACTTCTCGATGGAAGTTTGTAGAGCTTGTTGAAATACAATTCGCTTTTTTTGTTCCATCTCCACCGAAAAATGAAACTTGTGACTCAAAACCGTTGTCAACATCGGATTTCTTAGTCCATAATAAAACTTCACGGTTATTAACATAGGACCACAATTAGTGACTCAACATCGATCTTTACCTACATCTAAAGCTACTTTTATTTATCAACCCCCTTCGACAACTGAGAGAGTTACATTTCAGTTGAAGAGCTAAAGGTTTTTAGAAAGGTAGCTTCGATGAAATCGCATTCCGAGCCTCTGGAGTGGGGCAGGGAAATAGAAGGTGTGAAAGTTGCATTTGTATTACTACCCTTTCGTTAGTTTGCGAGCTTTCACGGTTAACACCAAACTCTAAACTGTTACACTTGATGGTCCGCTGCACCAAGTCAGACACACCTCATTTGAAGGTGCCGTTTATTACAAAAAATCAAGCTCGTTCTATCGCAAGTGGAAATTCCAGTGGTTAGTTTTGCTTTCTTTCGCAGTTATTGGCTTGACGAATGTGGTTATCATAATGAAGGAAACGCGATCTCCAAAATCCTATTTATGAGCAAGAGAAATGGTGATGAAATTCCGACGGAACCCTATATAAAGTTGGTGCCATCGGTGATAAAGTAATCGGGACATTTAACTGGAGCTGCCAATGTAGAGCAAATTATCCCTCCCCCCACTAACCCATTCGATTTCAGCTACCCCTCCCCTCCTTCTGAGCTCTTTTTATTATTCCAGTCGACTTTGGGTATTTTTGATCAGTTAACCGGTACTTTATATTGTTATTTCTTAAGAAAACGATTAAACGCGAAACAGGAAAAAACTGTGCGATCCAACTTTATCTTGTAAGTACTTAGAGTTCTTAAGCTCTTCTGAAAATACCACCATGTAAAACGACAATTATCCAGCTGTTTAAAGAGAGAAAGATAGTCATTACGATTTGACTTTAAATTAACTTACATCATTGTCATCTACCTCCAAAACCCGTTTATTTCTAAAGGGCATGAACATCATGTTGCTCAACAAGGCTGGAATATATTTTGAGAGTGAGAAAATGGATTCGTATGGATAAATAATTTATATAATATATTTGGGTCAGAAATAAATTGAATCACCAGAAAGTTGTGACCAACTTTGAACTAGGTTATTGTAACAAAGCAAACACAAGCACGCAGCGAGACTGATGAAACGAAGAAGTACTTTTTTTTACTCAATGTTAACGGAACATGAAAACGCTCTTTTAAATGTAGAACCATATGTATACTACCGATAACAATTCAAAACTTTCTTCTTTCTTTTTTCATATTTCAGTGTCAATATACATAAATTGCAAGACTTGACAGTGTTTTGTTTTTATAAAGGACTTAATTAAAACTAACCCACCGGAGGCCGAAAGACCGATAAGTTTTTTCAGTTTCACTTTGTTGTGTGTGTTATTAGTCCAATGTCGTCTTCGATGATTTGCAATAAGGTATTGTATGGAGCAAAATTGAAATAGTTAATTTCTTGACATCCAATTTTGCAAATTTAGTTTAATATTCATAAGAAAATGTCAAAAATCTCATTATAGTTGTTTTTTTTTTTAGCTCTTACAATTGTCATGAAAGCAGGTGTTTTTTAGTTTGTATATTTAATTTTCGATGGTAACTTTAGGATTCACTCCAACATGACAGAGAACAGCAATGTTGTCAACGTATCCAAAGTGCTGTGGTGTTTTGGAATACCAACCAACCTCTTTGTGGAAGACCCGACGAATTTGATCATCCTAACGATTTTAAACACCTTGACTTCCGTCACTGCTTTACTGGGTAATTTCCTAGTCCTTGTAACACTTTGGCGTACTCCAAGTTTACGTTCGCCAACAAACATTTTGATGTTCGGTCTCGCTTTGTCTGATCTGTTCATTGGGTTTGTCTCTGGGCCAATAGGTGTCGGATTCGGTATTATGCGCTTAATTAACTCGGTCCACCTTAAATCGTGTGCGCTGATGAACACAATGATTTTATTCGTTACCTATTCAACACCAATTGCTCTCTGTACTGTAACAGCAATGAGCATCGATCGTTACTTGGCATTATATTTGCATCTCCGGTATAAACAAGTTGTAACATAGAAAAAAACGACACGGCTCCTCGTATTCGTGTGGTTTTTCAGTGGCATATATCCACTGATAAGAAGTCTGGATAGAATTGCTTTGACCAGCTCATTACTTGCATCCACGATAGCAATTTGCCTTCTCGTAGTTTCTTTTACTTGGATAAAAGTCTACCAAGTTGTGCGACGCCACCAAGCTCAGATTCAGGATCAGATGAATGCGCAGGCACAACAGTTCAACATGGCCAAGTTCAAGAAATCTGCCGTGAATGTTTTGTTTATCTTACTCCTTCATCTTGGCTGTTACCTTCCTCTCCTCGTTGCTAAACTCGCTCTGGCTGTTAGAGTGAATCTTCTAAACGTTCTCATACTTGATTTCAGTTATGTTCTGGTTTTTCTAAATTCATCGTTGAATCCATTGGTTTACTGCTGGCGTCAACGTGATCTTCGCACTGCAGTTAAAGAAACTCTCAAGAAGTTTTGTTGTAGTAAAACCTAGATGCAAAGATCTCGCCAGCAAATAGCAACTTTAACCGCAGTTTCGCTGCTCTTAAATAACAAATCTCTTATAGGTACACCTAGAATTTATTGCTTGTGATTTTTCAAATTAAAATTATGAGTTCAAGAAGTCAATTTTCATGAAAATCGAATTGTATTACCCATTTGTCGTACTTAGCTTTGGAGTAACTTGGAAAAAAAAAAACAAAAAAAAAAACATGTCGAGCAAGGAATACCTCGCAGGAGTAAGTGACAGCTGTGGGTTCTAACACTTGAGTTGATCACTTTAGTTTGATTATAGTGGGAAAATCAGAAGTAGATCAGTTCAGCGGTTAAAAAATATTTGCAAAACGCAGAATTAATGAAGTTCTTGCGCATTATCAATTGAAAAGGGATGGTCAATTTAGGAGGTAGAGTAAACATAACTGACTGTAATAGAGGCCACAGATAATTGCAAGCGGGTTCGGACTGTGTCCTACACAAATCAAACAGCATGCGAGATTTCGATAAAGATTAAAGACAATCCATATTGATTTTCCATTAACTTTCACAAGTTTTAATTAAAAGACAGTTTGATCAAGCTTTTGACGAAACATGTAAACTTTGCGTATTCAGTTTTTATCAATTAACAAACAAACAAAATAAATTAGTTTTCCACAGAAGCAAGCTTAACCGACTTCTCAATGAAAAAAAAACACTGGCTTGTTCTAAGTTTACCTTCTTGCTAAGAGTGCAGTGAGCGTGGCATTATGGGCCGTTTTGAACTCCAATATAGGAATACCCATACCCATCGTGTCGTTTTCTAACCATCAAGCATTGCGTACCTTGTTCCTTGTTCCTCATCCAAACACTACATAAAGTGCATCCAGAAGTAGCAGCAAAATTCACCTCGATTTGTCTGGAGGACGCTGAGAAGAAAGGCGCTATGAGTTGACCTCCTACAGGGCTGGGTTAATCAGAGCACTTTTAGATTGTTGAAAAAAGCAACAAAAACTAATCATAATGAAGGTATGAGAATAATAAACTGAAACTTTAACAGCCATCAAATATTTTATTTCAAATTACAGAACCGTTATTCTTACTAAGTGATGTCTGATTTCCTCAAGTATCATTCACAGAACTTTGAGATTTCAATGCCTCAGGACGATTACACATTAGAAATACTTTTTAAGTTTTACTCTGCAGTTTACATCACATTATTTGTACATGAAAAATGTTAACTTTTTGTACCTTACATTTCTTGTAAAAATAATATCATTTGGAAGTTAGGGAAGTTCGTTCGCTTATTTATAAAAAAAGAAAAGCGATCACTGACTGTGTTTAAGAACATGCAACTGATCACACTTTAAAAGTGCAACTCATTCCATTATCGGCTGAGCCGAGACGGCGATGCTTTCAATCGAACACTCGTCGGTTCCTCGTCGGATACGGAAGAAGCCACTCTCGCCCCAGCTCTCTCCCCAGCTGTTTTTCACAATCCAGAACTTCTCACCAGTCTCTTTATCAGCTCCATATCCAACGATTGCCACCACGTGATTGGTTATCTCAAAAGGGTTGAATTTGTCCGTCAGACCTGTGTGATAAAGAAGGCAGTGAGACAAAACACAAGATCAGTTGGTTAAGACGAACACTGAGTATAAAGTACTGGAATTACTGCAACTTGTATGCATTGCTTTTTGTTGGGGATAAACCTGTTTGAGCGTTTGCCGCTGCAGTCAGGAACTGACTGCAATGATAGTGATGACAATGATGTTTCTGATGACGACGATGTCTAAACTAAACCATAAAAAAGCATAATTGAATCAAACCAATAAAGTTAAAAACAAAACAAAACAAAAAAAAGAACCAAGAAACTTAGAGCCACAAGCAGTTGTGCTGTGTTAATACCACTTCTGTTCATTAGCAATGATGTAGTCACCTAGTGATTTGAAAGCTTGTAACTTTTTTGTAAAAGCTCAAATAAAAGAGTTAATTTACCAGATACCAGTGAATAAATAAGCTTTATGTTTGCCAAGTCTTGACATTTCCTTTTCACTATATTTAATACCTCTCACTAATTTCTACAAGTGTTTCAATTTATTCTTAAATTTTGCATGACACAGTTGTTTCAGGTGTTTTTCTCTGACATACAGGAAGTCAAACGGCATGAGCAAGATTAACCCGTTTGCAGTATTTGCCCTTCTTTAGACCCCTGTGTTTTCCTAGCAGAGGCCATTGATTTTTCCTCTCTCCCAGCCTTCTAAATGGATAGCAGCAGAGTCAGGGAAACATGGCAAATTATTGGCAGGTTACCTATGATGGACTAACTTCTTGCCTAAATGAGTGGTGTTTGTAACACTCCTAAGGTGCTCCATGTAACAAAGAACGAAATGAAATATACTTGACAAATGGAAAGATACTTCACCAGTATGATGGTATATTCCTCCTTTATAAAACCTGAAGTCATCGTAGACCTCAAAAGAGACAGCTATAGGGCCATTCTTCACCAATTCAATCTTCATCAGCTCCTCATTACATGCTCCATAAAACCCACCAATATAGTGGTACCCAGTCCCAAACTGCCTTGTGCACTTCTTTTCCATACATTGCAATTCCTTGCCTTCATAGGGGAAGCACTCTTCATCCACCAAACCAAAGTCTTTAGCATACTTGCTAATGAGATATGGGAAACCTTCAAAAAGAACAACAACAAAAAAAAAAACCTCAAAACTGAAATAAATTGAATTGGAGTCAATTTTAATTAATCAATAGCAAATCCACAGAGGGTTTACATCCTCTTTTTCTTGGGTGCAAAATTGGATGGAAATTTAGATATTTATTTATTGTTGGGTGGAATATCTGACAACCCTGACAAAAAAAAAGGAAAAAAGTTAAAACCTTCCAGCAAGGATGAGCAACAATTATTATAAGAAATACAACCCACTGCAGTGACAGTAAGGTCTGAAACAAACCAGGGATACAGCAAAAGGATGGCTGCTTCCCAAAGCACATTTAGTGAAAAGAATTCAACCCTTTACACCCTAACATCAGTATACATAGTCTCCATACTGTTCTTCACACATTTCCTTTGGTACTGATGGGGAGAAATTTGCTAAAAAATCAAAGCCTCATAGATTAGGGGTCATTCTCATGATCTTAATGAATGATTAAGCAGGATTACTGTTAAGAGAATGTAGATTGTGGCCACTCTTAAGGTTTAAAGGATCAAGCCATGAAGAAACCACTAGATGAAACCAGAGTTTTGGTTCTGTTTTCAACATAAACATAATGATTCCATCTGTTTTCAGAGGATGTGAGATACAATTTTCTCCCCTCCACACATTGGATTTCCAGTCCCGAGTCCTCCTTTCTCCATTCAGCTCTTTACTTTAAACCATATGAAGCATACATCCAATCCTCACCCCCACCCCACTGTCATCAAATTCCAATACTTTCTAGTCCCAAGCCCCTCTCCCTTGCTGTTATTCCTTTCTCATCCAATCCTGCACATATCTCCTCCACTCATCAAGGAATTGCCTCTGCCCATTCCCTGATGCTTAAAACTGAAACTCATACCCCACTACTTCCACATCCCCTTTAAATTAGACTTCCCTTTCCTTATCCCTGCCTCCAGATGCCTGTTCCTTACCCATCTCAGGCTCAATTCCCAGGATGCAAACTTGAGTTCTCCTTGAAACTCTCCCTCAGTTTACACCATGAATTGTCTGCTTTAGCATCTGTTTTCTTTTTTTCACTTACTGCTAAATTAATGTAATGGTACAAAGCATGAAAAGATATTTAATACCTACCCCCTTCACAACCTTGTGAATATTCAGAACAGCTTACAATATCTTGAGTAGAGAACACTGGTGTTCTACTTCCATTTGACATGATACGCACACGAGCCTCAAACATGGCCATGGTACCAAACGCATAGCAGCTGCCACAATTACCCTGATTTCTGATTGGACTGACATAGTTTTTCCCATCAACATTCCTCCAATCAAACTCCTCTGGGAGTAACTTAGCTTTTAATAGATCTGCTTCTTTCACTTGGCTGTAAAGATACATTCACCCAATTAAAGAGGAAGCAACTAGTGTAACAATGTATGGTATTATTGGCAACCGCTGACAAGTCGGCGGGCTTGGAATACGTAGTTTGTATGTTCCACACGTTGGCGGATGTTAAAGGATGGTTATATTCAATCTTGTTCAATCCTGAGCTCTCAGGATCTTTACAACTGGCACTATACATTTATTGCCAGGTAACTCTTCTCTTTTTTTTTTTGTCTACTTTGGGCACTACCTTTCAAAATAGTAAAAGAGGGAGTACATTTCATAAGGACAAAATTACTGTCCTTTTTCTAAAATGATTATTCTAACCCATTTAAAACCCTCTTTGGCTTTTCCCGTATCTCCTGAAGTTTTCATTTGTTCTGATTTTCAGTTTATTTTATGCCCTTAAAGTCCCTTAACCCTCCAATCCCCTAAGAACAATAAGGATCCAATTTCTCCTAACAGTATCATGCTGAATCAAACATTACAGGTAATGAGAAAAACGGAAATGATTGCAGACTTAAGAAGCTCTTGTCTGTTTCACAAATTCTCCTTGCTAATGTGACAGGAAATGTGTAGAGAACAGTATAGATAATTGGCCTTAAATAAAAAATCAAAAACATCCCTTAAAGTTTCATGATTGCTCGCTGAATAATTGTCAAAGAAAATACCACGAAAGGCAGAAAGTAACGTAGGTGACTGTTACCTTGGTTTAGGGAAATGCAGCTTCTTTGGCCATCCACCACGAGCAATTAACTGTGCTACAGTCATCCTACTGTATTCCTCATACACCACAGCTTTCCAAGAATTTTGAGCACTGTTTACTTGGTCAATAAACTTCTGGTTAGGGATAAACATCTGACTTACAGCATTTTGCTGCTGAGGTTTGAGGTATTCCGTTTTGGGTGGAACCTTCCCTAAAGTTTTTTTCCCTATTGTGCGAGAAAAAGAAAACAAATGAATTGAAGAAAGTGCTATCTTTTTCTCATGACCACGGGTCAAAGAATTCTGCCATTTTCTTCTATTTTTTTTTTTTCTATCTGAATCCCTTCTTCACTAGCCTGAGTGTCAGGCCTTCCTCCCAGAAACGCATGATACTCAGGCTACTTCTTCACAGAAAAAAAGCATCAAAATAAAAAATTCACGAACAGAGACCGGGCAACGAATTGGGAGACTCGAAAACCGAATAGGGCCGAAAAGGATATCAAATCAGAAAAACTGCGGGGTTTTTTTCGGAAACCGGAAACAAATGCTGAAAAAAAAGGAAAAACCACAAACTGATACTGACACCAAATTAAAAAACACAAGCGAAAAAGCGATCCAAAAAATTGAACGAACAACCTCAAAAGCCCCTTGTTTGATAGTTTTCACAGTTACGCATCGAAAAAAGAAATTCTGTGTATAAGGTTCAGAAATTGCAGTGTTATAGGAGATAGGTAAAGGAAGCACTTCTCTATAAGTGTAAAAATAAATAGTGTAAAACATCTGGAAACTTACTTTAGCTATCTAGCCCACTGATTATCTAAACTAAACCAACAAAACAAGATGTACAACATGTACAAAAACACTTTTTCTTTTACATAATTTCATAAAAAGACTACAAATCAGCAGAGAGGTCTATATTTTTCGACGAATGCGATCATAGCTGTAAGTCACGCAACCATCATAACTCTGAACTTGAAACTGCGCTGATTTCCAAACCAAGCACGCTATTGAGCTGAAAATTTTGAAAATTGATACGAATTTGGACCCTCTTATGCCTGATGAGCTGATGAGCATGAAAATTTTCGTGGCCCTACATTTTTGAATTTTCGAATTTGAAGATGTCACAATAATCATGAATTGGGAGGGGGTGATAAGGAAAGTCTCCCTTCCGTCACTTCTCCACTGTGCGTGAGGATATCAACCTCAATCTCATCATACTTTGATTAAAAGACACTGGTAGCAACGTGAGGCAGCACTGTTGATACCGAGGCTCACTCTCTATACAGGTATGTTTCCTAAAAACATCTTACCGCTGTAACAAGACCAATTTCCGGCGTGATAACCCTTCGCGGGATGACTCCATCCGTTGGAGGTTTTGTCGCAAAAACTGGTCACTTTTTCTCCACTCTTCTCGTAAGCTGAAAATGCGAAATATGCCACTCCGTTTATATTCACTTCAAAGCCTTGATTGTAGATCAATGTCCAAAAGCCGACATTTCCTTCCGAATCGACTGCGACATCAGGAAACAACAAAGTCACTTGGAGCTCAGAGACAGGTTTGAACGAGGAGCAGTCGATGGTGTTGTCATGGCCTCCCTCTCCGATCGAAAAAAGCCATGATCCGCTTATCTCTTCGTAGGTACAATTAGCTGGAGTGTCGGCATTGACATAAATGTAGAAAGAGAACAAAACGAGATTAGCTATCACCGCGATCTGAGTTGCCATGATTTGAGAGCAGATATGAAGATCCAGGTTCTAGTCACGCGATATTGGCTCGTTCCAGGGATAGGCGAGCTCCCGGTCAGCATTGAGTCGCTTCACCAGAATTGCTTGGCTGGGGGAGG